CTATGTATGTGCTTCTTTTGTAATCCCACAACCCGAGGGACTGCTCAAGACAGGAGTGAAGCAAAGCAAGGAAAATCAATGTTTAACTTGGAAATATTTGTCAGTTAACAAGTCACAAGGAAGTGAGTACCTCTAGCACTAGTAGGAGTTTATTTTATGCTTAATTAATACTCTTTTTTTTTTTTTTTGAGTAAGGAGTGTATTTTAAAAACTGAACACCGACAAAAAAAATCTTTATTTTGAGCTTTGTTACCATTGGATTTCCTAAATTCAAGAATAGCCTCTAAATGTACTTGGACACGTTTATTCTGTAGAAGGCTGACTATCTAGACTCTGACCACACTTAAACACATACTGAAATCTGTCCTTTTTATGGACAACATGCAGTTGTGTGCATAAACCCCTGTTCTGTTTAGAGATGCTTTCCTGAACTGGGAATACAGCTTGTGTGCTTCAATTGTTTTAAGGGATCTCTTTTCTGGTATCTTGTTTGTTTTCTCCTTTTGTCCCTTCAAAAGCACTTCTGTTGAGTTTAAGAGTATATTCCTTTACAGTCTCACAAGCTCTCAGTTTATGAGACCTGGAATCCCTTATTCAAGAAAATCCACTGGAAATCTATAAAAACCCCGTGTACAATAAACAAGAGACCTACTTCACCCTCAAGTTCTGGATCTCAGGCCTTTGTTGTCTTGCAGAATGACTTAATCCCTCCGAGGGAGGAGTGTCCCAGGTATTTCCGTATGGATCAGTCCCCCAAAGCGTTGATCTGTGTCTCAGAGCCACATCGATCTGTCCTGTCTGCAGTGACTGAAAGGACTTTATGCATTGAATTTTCTCAGAAGTGCTATAAAATAACACGTCTTGGCGAGTGAAGCCAGCCTGTTAATGTATGGATTTTCTGTCTTGAGTGATTTTCTAAAATCAATAACTCATTAAAAAGAAAAAAGCTCAATTCTCACAATTCATAGCCATGCAAATAAACAGGCTGACTTCAGCAGCAGCGCCCAGCTGAGTTAGAACAGTGGGTTTGGAGGATGTTGTGTTGTTTGTTCAGTTGCCCTGACTGCAGTTTCAGTTTTGCTGGATCCTTCTTGAAAAAAATATTTTAACAACAGTATTCATTCATTAATTCTTAAGAATAATGCTCTGTTGGCAGAATGGATAACTAGTTGCTAAAAATAAGGTCTGCTGGTGAATCCTTCAAAAATAGGACTACGTCCCCAGGAAATAACTCTCTTTCAGCAAAGGATAAAAGTGTAAATCTTTCAAAATCACAGTCTCTAGAAATGCTTTATGTACGTAATAATTCCTCAAAAAAAGTGTCAGATAACTTGGCAGGGGAGGAAGCTTTCCATCCCGAGTGTGTAAAGCATTGCAGTCATTAATTTATTGACTGAATTGATCTGACTTTTAAAAGACTCTGCCTTGGCATCAGTATTCTGTTTATCTCACAAGCAATGGATCTCCTCTTCCTCCCTGTGTGTAAATACTTAATAGCTGTTAACTTAAAAGGTCAGACCTTGCTGAATCCATAAGTGTTGTACTTCAAGGTACATTTGGATTGAAGTTTTCTTTTCCTTCTGCTCAGATCTCTGGTTGCTGCATTACCTGCTCTACTTGACATGCTCAGTGGCTTGGAAACCGTGTCAAATGTTTTTCAGAGAGTTAGTTCTTTTTTTCAGGGTGATTTTTTTTTGCACCCAGATGTATTAATTTAAAACCTTTAGGGTTTGGGTTTTTTCTTCCCAAAGTACTGTGACAGGATTTAGAATGCTCCACAGGATGCTGAAGTCAGCTGCTTTCACAAAGCTTTTCCATATGCATGTCAGCAGCACAGCTTCAAGGAGTGTCTTCTCATTCTGCTTTCCACTTAGCTGGACTTTAACAGGTGTCTCAGAACGCCTCTGAGCTGGGCAGGATTAGTGTCTGTGATCTGGGAATAAAAGAAAAGGTGCCAGGGTGTGGGGGCAAGGAAGGGAACTGTGGAGGATGACCTGCTTCCAAAGGACACCCTCAAGCAGAGAATCACATTGGGTAGATTCAACTTTAGTGTGAGAAAGAACAAACCTTGCATGTCAGCAGGGACTCCTATGGTTTAATAAATTACTGGAAAGTTAGGACACTGAGACATGGCTCTCTAGAAGAGTCTGAGAGGATCCTAGGCCCAGTAAAACATTTCTCCACCTCAGATGAAAAATGTAGCCACTAGTACGACAAGGCATTCTTGAGTGTCTGTGTGCTGGATTTCTGCCCTTTGAGGCCACTGGAAGAACAAACAGAGCAGAAATTGTCCAGCCAAGTAATTAAAATCCAAAACTAGAATGTTCATTTTGTGGGAAAATTATAAGGGGCTGTTCCAGGTGCAACCAAAATTCAGTCGTCTATGGAACCGTGTCCTGGGTCTCCCATGCACCTCATGAGACCCCAGATCCTAGGATCACTCACGAGCAGAAGGGCAAAAGGCAGCTCCTGCTGCATCTGCTGTGGAGCCCCACGTGGGCTCATTGGAAGGCTGGAAATGAGCTGTTTGTACTGACTGGACAAGGAGCCATTGATCCCACTCCTTCAAGGAGATTTTCCTCAGCTTGGGGCACTAATTTAGGTCTCTTTCCTCTGTGCAATGACAAGAGCTGGAGGAACATAATTATCTCCAAATCTTTTGCTTCTCCCCTGACAACTTGCATTGAAATGTGGCAGTGGGTTTGAATGTTATTAGGGGCAGACATGAACAGACAGAAGGCATGACTGCATAAGCCTCATTTCCTTAGGAAATCAAGTGGAAATGTTTGTATAGTTTATATACAGCACAATATGGTTTGTGTCTGTCATATTACCTTGAAGGTTGTTGGTGCAATCTTATGTTCCATTGCTGTGCTTCATCTCATTTAGAGTTTGTAAAAATACTGCTCTGGACCTTTGTGATTTGTTTTCCTGCATCTCATAGGAAGCCAGCACTGGAAGGGGCGTCCTGGGTCAGTGTGCCCAGGCTCCTGCCGAGGTATATGGACTGTAAAAGTTAAAAGAGAAAAATACTCTATAATAAACTTCTGATTGGTACAGTGGGAAAGTTAATGAGACAAATGAAACCTTCCGTGTGGCCTTTGCAAAGCTGAAAGTCACAGCATGGGGCAGTCCCCTTGCAAATCTTGGGTCATTAGCTTATCTTCTGCAGTAACTGCCATGGACCGGTGTCAGAGGATGAAGGCATTTTCCTCTTTACAGCACTGGACTATTCACATGTTCCTCAGAAAATCCTGGGGAAAAGTGCCACATTTTTTCTTGTGCAACAGGAGTATTAAAATGTTAAACGTGTTTACAAAGGAGAAATTATTTGATCCAGAGAGAGGAGAGACATCCCTTAGCTTTTAAATGTGCGTGAATGACAGTCAGGGATGTCCAGCATTCCACAGCATTTTCCTAAAGGGAACAAGAGCCCAGAAGACCCTCCATGAAATAAGACAACAGGCAAGAGAAGGACAAGAGAAAGACAGCATCTTCTTATATACAGGCCACAAGGGAACAACAGTGTCAGATTATTTCTGGATCTGTATTATACTGCTCAAAGGGAACCTGATGATGTAAGAGTAAAAACCAGAAGTGCCCATGTTTCAGAATTTCTGGTGCTCACCTTTAGCTGTGCACTGATTGTCAGTGTTAGATGTGCTTCTCTGCTATGTATAAGTACTTGCAGATTGTTAAAGACACTTCTAGAGTATTTATATTCCACAATATCTCAATTGTTTCAAATCTCAGCGATAAAATTCCCTCTACTTAGAATTATATATGTGCAGCTGTTCAGAGAAAGATACAGCCTGAGAAAAGGAGAAGGACAATATTTTATTTGACAGTTCCCAGAAATTGAACAGAAAATGAATCAGTACTTTGAAAAATCTCAGTTTTGCACTATTTAAACTTGTTCAAAAATAGAAATATATTTTTCAAATTTTTTCAGACCATTTGCCTTTTTGATAGTAGAGTCTGTAAAAAGCATTGAAATTTTTAATGTTTTATGTGGAATATCTCTAGAATGAACTGGGAAGTTCACTGACTGTCTTCAGTGTTGCCTTTGGCATAATTCTGTAATTTATATCTTTGTCCTTACACTAGGAAACCAGGCAGTACTTCGGGCTCTTCCATTGACATGCTTGTGGCCGTGGGTATTTTTAAGCATCCAAAGAGTCTCTTTGGCTTTGTTTGCACAGTTTGAATGCTAGAGTGTGAAATGTGCACTGGCGTACTTCACTGGGCTGTGCTGTGCTCCCCAGCTGAGCTCTGAGCACAGGAGCACAGGTGGGAGTGACGGTGGGAAACCGAATGGGAAGGTGCACTGAGCTGCTTCCTCTGAGCAGGCCATGAAATCATAATAGGAGAAAGGAAATCTGCAGCTTCATTTCAGAAGAGTCCATTTGCCATAAAAAATTATATGCTTTAGAGGAATTAGGCAGTTTAAAAGAATAATTCTAGAGTCTGCATCATTAAACTTTGGACCTTTAAAGTATTTAACTGTTGAACTCCTGACTCGATGGAGACTCATTTCTGGAATGTTGTAGTAACTTCTGTTTTAAGGTGTTCAGAATGAGCTAGACTTTTAAACAGTTGCAGCAGGCTAATTGTTAACAAAGAGGTTTTCTTCACAAAAAGCATGTTTTCTGCCCAACAGAATTTGATAGTGTTTTCCATCTAAATTTTGAAGACTGCTAAGTTTGACATTGCTGCTAGGTTTGCTCAGTCAGGCTCAGCCTGTAGAAAAAAGGCTGTTAAAGATCTATCACTCAAAGGAGGGATTCTGACTGCTTTCCATTACAGGGTTGCCCCTCATGGCTCTGTTGCAGTGGCTTTAAGCAGGTGTGAGTCATTTGTATGACTCTGGCTCTCACGCTGCTTTGGGGAACCAGCTGCCTTTCAGCTCAGTGCTCAGCTCTGGGCCTCAGCAGGACCTGTTTGTCAGCCCACCTCATCCTTTACTCATCTCACCTCATCTCCAATTGCATCCATTACAGCACGGGCACCATGCAGTGAGTGATGATCCCAGCCCGTCACTGCTCCTCTTGTCCAGCCACCAGCAGCTCCATCCCTTTCCCGTGGAGCCTGTGCAGTGCCAGGGCTCGCCCATCGTTGCTGGGCAGATGTGTGTGGCTGCCTGACCAGAGAGTTTGTCTCCCAGTCTTCACTTGGGTAAGTACCTTGTCTCCCAATACTTCTGTTGCATCAAGCTGAACATCTTTGCCTCATGCCTCCCAGTCCTGCCTCCTTCAATCACTTCAGTGTAGAATTGCATTGATTTGGTAGAACAAGTAAAAAGACTGAAGCCAGTTGGCCAAATCCTGTTTTCAGTCACCACTACATAAACTACACTGACTCCACTGAAGTCAACAGAGAAAACCCAGAATGAATTGTTTATATTGACTTCTGGGATAAGTGCAAAAGCAATTAAAATTCTTTTTATCATTAGTTATTATAATGCCATACAAAAACACTTACATTAGGAATCATCAGCTTTTGAAGAAACCAAGTGCTCAAAAGATGTCCGTGCTCCTGTTATATGTCAAAGCTACAGCTGAAAATTCCTCTTTCCTTAAAGATGCATTTATGTTCTGAATTCTATTGCTTTGTGAGAGAAATACTTGCATAAAGAAGGAAAAAATAGTTATCTATATCCATCACAGAGTGGGGGAATTTTCTATTGAAGCTTTGCCATCTATGTTCAAGAAACTTCAAAATTATTTCAATTAGCAAGACAGCATCACCTTTAAGTTTTATTCTTATGTTAATAATTGACAGCACTATCCCTCCCACAGTGTTTAATATAAGCAATACATTGAGGGGAAAAAGTATATTCACTTGAAATTCATTACTGTATTTACAATGCTGCTTTCCCATGCTTATTTTAGGGTCATTTGGGAAAAAAGCTGTAACTCCAAAAAAAAAAAAAAAAAAAAAAAATCATGCATTGCTATTCTGGGACTTAGACTGTCACTTAATAAATATATTTCTGATAATAAAAATTGGTGTCATTTTACTTGGAGAGACTTATTTGGAAGAAAGTTAATAAAAACTGCATGGAAAAACCAGCATCACAGTTGGTTGGGGGTTTTTTTTGGTGGGGGCTTTTTTTTGGGTGTTGGTTTTTGGGTTTTTTTTGGTTCAAAATTCCTCCAGGAAAGTTAGCCTAATGCAAAAAGTATCAAGAGGCACAGAAACATTCCACGGTTTTAAAACCCAAAGGTAAGATTCTCTTCCTAACCATGGTCTTTAAAACCCAAAGGTAAGATTCTCTTCCTAAATATACTATTAAGCAAGGTAGCTCTGATGAGCTTTTTAAATACCTTTTAAGGACAAAGACTTAACTGGCCCTGCTGATGGGAAAGTCATAGTGTGGCTTTTTTCCTGATGGCTTTCTATTCTTTGTATGTGTGACAGATGTCAATGAAGTTGAAAAGTGTCCATTTCCCAGCAGGAGGCTGGCTGTTCCCCAAAATGCCTGGGCAGTTTGTAGAGGCCCTAATATCTCCTGATGGTGAGGGAAGGATTTGTAGGGAAAGCTTCCTGCTGGGCAGAGGCCTGCTGCCTTTGAATAGAAGGCAGCCAGCAGCTCTACGGGCCTCAGCAAGAGATGCCACTGCACCATCAGGAAACTTTGATTTATTATCTGAGAAATTCACCATCCATCTGCATGAAGAGGTCACAGAAGCAACTTTCCTAATGGGAATCTGAGACCCCCATTATTTCCCACTTATTGCTACAAGCATGAAAAATTGCTCCAGCTGAGAAAGCCGGACCTTCAGGACTTGTTGCCATGGCTGAATTTATAGGAATATTTAGGAGCAATGGGCTTTTCTGAACCTATAAACTCCCACCAATTTTCACAGGTTTTTGCTAATTAATGCCACCACTGTGGAAATGGAAGCAGTTCTGCAAACAAGCTGCGACAAATGGGATTTTTCCTGCCAGTGGAAAAGCCCAGGGAATAATTAGCGGGTCCGTTGAGATCTCTTGATTACAGACATCTGCATTGGTAATGTCCAGACGCAAAGATCGCCCAGGGAAATGTTTTGGGATTTTCACCTTAGGGCACGTTTATGTTGTCAGCTACGCCCTTCAAAATGCAGTCGGACATTTGTGGGAAAATATTTAGTGAAATGTTAGACCAAGGAACCCGATGTTGACTAATCTGGGCTAGGGAAACCGGCTTTGCTTTCCAAAGCACTGTCAGGCCGCCAAGAGTTGCAGATGTAATATTTTGATATCTCATTAAGCTGATTTCACAGAGATATTTATTTCTCAGTGCTGCATCTGAGTTGCTGTGAGTTGCCTGAGATGCTTTTGCAGTTATCACTGCCTTGTTGAATAGGATGAAGAGGAAACAACGAGACTGATTATTAAAAAACCACATGACTCCTTGAAAATGAAGCACTGAAAAAAGAACTCATGTCAAGGCAGGATTTATTAGTTCAGGTTGAAGAGTAACTTGATTTGGGATTTTCCTCTTGTCAAAGAGATTCACAATATGAATTATGAATCTACTTATAGAAATGGTAGAGGTTTTGCCTTTTTTGAAAAGGCATGCTTTTAAACGGGCCAATAAATTAATTATTTCAGGCCTATGAAGCAGAACTTAAGCTAAGGGGTTTTTTTAAACCGCAATTATTTTCATTCAAATAACATTAGAGCACAGTTACCCCAGTTCTAGACTTGTTCATGTTGTATTAAATGCCAGTAAGTGCCAAACAAAAGTCATCCCTTCCCTGAAAAATTGATAGCATACAGGTTTGCTTGTGTTTACCAATTGTGCTTGGATACAGGATATAGGACATAAAATAAATTAAATTTATAATGCCTGTGATTTTAAAACATTGGTGCACAATATAGGTCTGTTTTGCTTAGAATCTCTCTTTGATGGGATCTTCAATTCCACAGGCCTTGAAGCAGAAAATGCCCTTAAATTTATATTTAAACCCATCCTTCTCCAGGACAACCATTAAGCAAATGATTAATTTTAAGGTACATTTCAGTCCCAGTGGCATCATTTATCCTACTCACTGGTCAGGCAGTCACTTACAACGAAGTTAAGTACTGAGCAGACCTAATTCTGAATCCAGGCTGTCCTTCAAGATGTCATGAGAAGGAAGAATAACTAATTCTCCTGGCTTTTAAGTCACGATGTGCACGACACATAGCTTCACCCACTAATGCACCAACATGTCAGCTATTTCCAGAGATCTCTACTGGTTTAGCTTTTCTGTTCTCTCTGTGGTGAGGGGCAGCGGTAGAAGGAGTGAAGGGTTAGGAAAGAAGGAGAATTCAGTTGCTGAGGATACTTTTGTTCTCAGACAACTAGAGCTTGTATGACAAGTACATGTATATTCATGGGCACTAGAGAGAACTAGAATCCATGCTTCAGCCTGACCCAGGATATTTACAGAGATGTGAAGCAGCTTCAGGATGAGGTTTGTAATAACTTCATTCTGAGTCCTTATGAAGTCTTTCCAGAAGTCCCCAGAGATGCCTGTGATCACATGTGTCTCATTGTCACTGCCTTGGACAGATGGGAAAGTCCCTGGAGAAATTGCTTCAGAGTGGTGTTTACTGGTCAGGACGTGGGCTGCAATGACACTGGTTTTGGGGAACAGTTGCACTGGCTTTGAGGTGCAGGTGAAAGGACAACTATCTTACAGTCTCCTGCAGACAGGGTTTTCATTCATTCTGGGCTGTCTTTCAAAGTCCAGGCTTTTTACATGCACAATCCAGGTGACTTTGAGCCCCAGCTTGGTACATTTACTGCACTTAAGGAAATGGTTTACAGTGGCTAAAGGTATGAGTATGTGGCACGTATATCTGCAGTTCAGAAATACAATATGAATTCCTGTAAATCAGGTATTTAAGCATAAATGTGTTTGACTGTTTTCTAATGAGCCTTGTTCACAGGCCCTGCAGGGTTAATTAGGTTTCTAGATCTTATCTTTACTCTATTACACTAAAGGCAAAAACCTCTACAGGAACTGAATCCACTCAGAAAGAGCAAATAAACTAGCTCTAAATGATCACAAACTGACCAAGCTTTTCTGCTTCAGCTCCCTGTGTGCCTTCAGGCAATCGGGATTTAAAAGCACTGAGATTACAGGACCATAAAAATACACATTTACATTTACGTGTGGTCACATGCAAAATTTAAGATTTGGAGAAAGCCACAAAGGGAATGTTTAACACAAGTAGCCAGGCACAAGCTGAATTAATGACACAGCAGCCCCAGCAGAAACACAAGAAAAACATGTAAACCTTCATCTATTATTAGTTGCTGTAGCCCACACTCCAGAGCACAAGGACGCATGGTCATTAGAGGCTGTTCTTTTCCACGAGGTCTTTTAGCTGCCTCATGAATGGGAGCTGGGCAAGTCCTGAAATGTAGGGAATTCACTGAGGGTCCTTGTTTTGAATTTTATTTCTTTGTTGGATGGGTAAATCACTGAGTACATGAACAGAGGAGCCAGAAGCTCTCCCCAAGCCTGCCCGGGTGAGGACACTGCAGGAGGACTCCCAGCCTTCTGTGTGGGACACTGGGCTGGGACAAGGCTGCAGGTGGTGCTCCCAGGATGGGCAGCAGCTCCTCTAGCTCAGGGTTTGCATTCCTGCAGCCCCTGGCAGGCAGGCTGAGCTGTTGTACCAAGCCTTGCACGTCTGCTACAGGCAATTCAACAGCCTGTAGCAAGCACAAGAGCGTGTGGGGACAGGACAAGGGGCAATGGCTTCAAACTGACTGAGGGTAGGCTTGGATTACATATTAGAAAGAAATTCTTGCCTGTAGGGTGCTGAGGCCCTGGCACAGGGTGCCCAGAGCAGCTGTGGCTGCCCCTGGATCCCTGGCAGTGTCCAAGGCCAGGCTGGATGGAGCTCTGAGCAAACTGGCCTCGTGGGAGGTGTCCCTGTCCATGGCAGTGGGGTTGGAACCAGATGATCTTTAAAGTCCCTTCCAAGCCACTCAGTGACTGTATGATTCTATTAATTCCTTTGCTTAAAAGTCCTGTGTTGCAATGTGATGCAGACACATGGTGATGGAAAGCTCCGGGAGTAGATTCTGTTTGGTTTTCCACGTGTTGGTATCACACCTACCAGAATGGCATTTAGACCTGACAGGTTAAGCTTCTCGATGCTTAAAGTAAATATTAGATATGAAGAGAAACACATTTTCTTTCTAGTTTTTTCTTGCCTTGACACTGTTGTC